ACGGCCGTGTTTTCATTTTTGCTAATGGCCCACAAGTTGGTCATTGTAAATAAGTCGAGCCTGGCCGACCCAATACCAACTGCTTTCGACCCAAGGGACGATGTTCTCAGCCATTTTGGATGGAAAATGAACGCAGGAACCGGAGTTCCTTTGGGAGGTGCAGTAATGCATTCTGGCAAACGAATTTAATTTGAGAGCCGAATATGTCACCAGTATCAGTATATTCTCTTCATTTTGAACACTTTTGAAAATGAATTCCCAGCATTTAAAAGCACATCAGACACATCCGAACGGAAAGTACATATAAACTATAGCAAGAGAGCATTTTTATGCTGCCTGAGTATTGGGTATATAAGTAAAGCCACAGACCTTGCCGCTGCTAACAACATTCCCGCTCTTTTTTTTATTTACGCCCACAAACATCACGCACTCGATCAATCCTCCTTAGATATTTGTGGCTAATACGTTGCTAAGTACCCGGCAATTGTGTCCCGTTAGTGCAGTAGGATGGAGAGTCATTCAAGTATCCATCAAATGATGAAAGCCCTAACCGCACGGCATTAGTTGGGTACTAGAACAGACTCTTCGAAATACAGCTTCAATGCGAGGCCCGCATACAGCTCTATTTTCGAATCCAATTCTTGAGTGTGGCACAGCAGGATGGGTAAATGCGTTAAGCAATTTGTAAATGTAACTAACAGATACAAATCTGCTGGAAATACATCTGCAGCTGGAGCAGAGCACGGCAGGACAGGGCGAGGCAAAGAATCAAAATTAAAATAAGAATCTCATCGCTCAGCCGCAGACAAAGACACGGCGACACAGAGAGAGATACATTCTGGCAGATATGACACTGGGAACAAACGACTCCAACAAATTACACTTTTTCTTTCGCTTTATTGTCGGCAATTTATCCGCAGCTAAATTGAAATACACACCATTTACCTGCAGACAACAGCGACACAGCGGCTGACTCCTCTGACAGTGACAAACCGGGTCCGGTTAGTAATCTACAGGATTTTATGGGTTGGGCTAGATCGTGACATCATCTTCCTGTGAGCAGCAGTCAGACTGGTCAAAATGTTTCACAAGCAGGACACAATACTGGGAACAATGGATGTTAAAGGTCTTCTGTTTCTCAGTGCAACATCCTATTAAAAAATATGGGAGTCAATCATCTCGTTAATTAAGCCAAAAGGAAATGGGTCTCTGAACACCTACAGCTATAGACTCGTGAGTAGCCTCAAAAATCGTATGAACTAGGCACTCAGAAAAGTTATACAATCAACTAAACAAAATGGAACTAGTGAAGGCTGCCGCCTGCCTACCCTTATGGTCGTGCATTGGCGTGCAACTCGCAGCTGAACAAATGGTCCGGCACCGGCAGAGTTTTTGATTTTAATTTAGATAAAGTGCGCTATGGAAATCAGTTTCGCTGTAACTTTCCCAGCTTATCCGAGCTCAGATCGGGCCCAGACAACTAAACACTCCATGAACACAACACAACCGAGAAGGGAGCGGAGGGCAGAACAGCTCTCAAGGTAAGCTGTAAATTGCACGCTTTCATGTAGATAATTAATCACCGGGAGCGTTCTGCAGGGGGCTGAAGGTACCTTGCCAGGCAACGGTAAATTTTTGCATCGAACTCGACTACGATATTGGCCTGTGGCTCGCTTTTGCGGCGAATGTAACTGCAGTTCTATGTAGATTTATTCCTGATCTTATCCGTATAATTTTAAGCCGGGCGTATTGTGAGTCGGGGATTTATGGCCGGCGTCCCTTTCGAGAACTCGCGGAAGTGAAATCAATTATACGCCCTGTTAGACACTCGATGCACGAAAGGAAACTGAAATCATTTGGTATAAATTAACGCAATTAATTCACACTGCGAATCCTTGCTGGATCCTTGACTGTGGATATAATCGATATAAATATATATGTATGAGTGTGCTTAGGTACAAAAACAAATTAAGATTGCCGCCATATTTGGTGAGGAATCTCGTCGATTTGAATGCCAAATCAAGATAAATTTAAACTTATGCGAAATAAAATGAATTCCATAACTCAAGTCTAACGACCAAACGAACGTAAACAAATTTATAAAGTACGCACTCACACGATATCGAACTTGTATTGGTCTGACATTGGGCGTGGGCTGGTTCATAAAATTCTGCCAAAAAACAATCAAACTTAACTATAAGAAATGGAAATTCTGGCAATTCAATCGAGACAAATATCGAACACACACACTGATAACTGGCAACGAAACTGGGCCAAAAGACTGGGTGGAGAAAGCTTAGACCTCGTGAATATCTGACAACATTTGCCAGTGCAATGCATTGCAATGAATAAAATATTCAAATGTAACTCAATTCCGAACGCAATATGCGCTTGGAACCACTTGCAAGATAGCAGCCACCAGAGGACGAGACATTTTGATTTGATTTATTTATAAGTTCAATTTGTACACATTATTTTTCCAATATTAAGCTTCGATGTGGATGCAGCCCGCTGTGGACTCCAGGGAATGCAAGTGAAAGTCAATTCAATTTGCCAGTTGCCAAGTGCAAAGCGAATACCAAATGATAATGGCTAATATTTGTTAGCGAGAGGTGTGGTCTCCATTCCGATGGGTAAAAACCTTCGATATGTACAGAAAGTGTCGCCGCATATACCTTGCAGCATGCTGACAAGCGCCGGGATGGGTCTACACATTACAAAAAGTTGTGTCTTTGCCCCAAACAACCTCAACTTTGCCACATTCGTAGCTCGGCTAGTGCCTGCCTCGTGCTGAAAACTTGCTGTGCTCCCTCACAACAAGCGACAACAAGAATGGGCCGAAATTGCTGGGGAAAGCACAAGAGATTGTATTTTTTGTGCTGTTTCTTCAGTTGCTGCACATAATTACATGAAAAGAAAATTAGTGTCGAGATTCGCCTTGAGCGCCGCTCCAGGTGAAAACTTTTAATGAGCAATTTTCTTACAAATTTCCAAGTGTTGCCGCATTTAATTTTTAATTAAGAAATTTCTTTTTCGGTTCTTGGTGCAACTTTTCGTTTAAGGGCAGCCATGGCGCGACAGAAAGCCTTCTAAATTGACCATTCTCCTCAGAGTTCTTCAATCAGTCTCGGCGTCGTTTAGCCCTCCAATAATTCTTCTTCCATTGGAATGGAATGTTTGAAGAGTGCGTGTGTGGGAGGTGCTAGGTGTTTACTTTTATTTATCGCCGGCAAAAAGAGCGAGTCCAGACCCGTGTTAATGGCCGATTGACACGCCACTTGGCCTTGATGGGGCTCTTAGACCCGCTCGCACTTGACTGCTGTTGCCAAAAAAAAAAGACGAAATGGTACTGGTGCTGCTCGACGCTTTCACACGATTAATGTATGTCTGTGAAGGGGATGATGGTTTCATGTGTCCGGTCCCCACAACCTCCCATACGCGGTCTAATGAGGTGCTAACTGAGCGTGCTGATTGCTGCCATTTTTGATAAGCAGTCCGCATTAATATTTCCTGGCGTTGGTTCCCACCGTTCCGTCCACTCCATTGAGATGTTTCCCTGACTTCATGGCTTAATAGCCACACTAGCTTTACACTATGCACATACTTGTAAGCTCCCCACTAAACTAAAGCCAATTTAAGTGCATTTCCCAAAGGGTTGGGTTAAATTACTTTCATCAACGGATAGAATGGAACCACTAATCGTTTGAAGGCCATATTTAATATACGCACACATCCAATGTGTATCCATTTTTAAGCTAAAATTAAACAAAAAAAAAACAATTTTAGTTCGTACTACGGAGTTTATCTTTGCTTCGTATGTGTATGTGTATATATGTGGCCTTGGAATAAAAGTCAGTGATGAGCTAGAAACAAACACCCAAACCCAAATTTTAAGCTAAGCCTCTCAGCTGCGGAAAAGAACAAATATGACGGACTGCACGAACGTGTTCCGGTGCCGGCGCCTGGTGATTGTGCGAGTAGTGCGTTGAAATTTTACTGGAACTGAAGAAGACATCCAGACATATGGGGAACAATTAAAGTGCCATTTCAAATATGTATTTCCATATTCATAAATCTGCCTGCCTGCTGGGAAGCTGTCCACGACCATGAATCGACATGTCGTTGAGGTGGGGGAAACTGGGTTCGAGGGCTTCCGACTAAATCAAGTGTCTGTTAGGTGTCAGTTTAATTGCAAACGTAAATTGGATGCTGTCATTTGGTACGTTTTCATTTGTTCGAAAGTTCATGTCGCCCTCGCCCTCTGCCTGGGTAGCATTTCCCAGGAAGCTCCAGAACTCCCATTGACTTTTGCTGCCAGTCCGTTCTGGCGGACATTGCTGGCAGCTGCTGCAGCAGCAGGAATCTGCAGAGATTGCAAACGTTGCACAAATCTGAGCTCTGTTAATTAGACTCATTTCGGAAAACTTGCAGCTTGTGTATTCTAAATTGGCATTTCTGACAGGGGCAGGCTCTGGGAAGCTGATTCGAAATGAAAACTGACAGCTTGCTTGTGTGGAAACTAGAAGTTTTCATTCGAATAATGGTACAATATGGATAAGATCACCCTGCTTCGGCCATAAAATAGGTCCACTAACATTGTCTTGTCTTGGACTGTTTCTTCTTGCCTTCCCACCCTGCCTTGACAGTTTTCCTTTCTGGATATAGGTAAGCACGTGCCCCAAGAACTCCAAGTCATTGCGACGCGACTGCTGACCGCCCAGCAAAACGTAGAGACGTAGTTGGTCGTGCCCACTATGCGAGAGTTACTCCAATGGTCGCCGTCGAAAAGCTTCAAGGAGAGTCTTGAGCGTGAAGCTACCTGAGCAGTAGCACACTGGAATACCAGACGTCGACGATTCGTCTGAGAGCTCTCCATCTTGAGGCGCACATAAAGATAAGACTAACTAACTAAAGCGGCGTCTCCCATTTAAATCAGATTCAATAAATTCCTCTTTCAAATATGTGTAGTTTAGTTACTATTTGTATTAAGTCTAGCATCACAGAAGCTTTGCACTACATGTACTTTTTAGAAGTCCATAAATGAAATACAAATTATATAGTTACTACAGCGCACGAGAATATGAATGTTGGAATGGCTACACAAAAAAAGGGGAAAAGTATGACGAAAAAGGAATTTGTGGCATTCCGCGCTCAATACGAGCCACGGGTGAAGAAACTAGAGCATGATGTCTTCGAGTGGCTCCGCTCCCTGGACAAGGACAGGGAAATCGTAAAGGTGAAATCGGAACACAACAACGGCAATGGAAACACGGAAAAAAAAATGGTCATGTCCTGGCAGTATGATATGAAGGAGTTTTCATTTGAGGAGATTACCCTTTATCACGAGGGTAGCTCCTTGCATCTACGTGCGTACCACAAGTCTGGTGGAAAGTCCATCAAAGTGAAGAATGAAATTGTTCTCCCCGAGCACGTTGACGAATCGAAAATATCCAGCAAACTGTCATCCAGTGGCATTCTGACTATTTCTGTGGCTCTCAAAACCGATATTCCTGAAGAAAAGAATCGTTAAATATTTATATATACATTTTCTAGACTCGCTACTTCGATGTTTGTTCAATACATGTTTCACCTGAGGAACCAATTTATATGCAAGTTTTTAGTATTGTTTATTATTTATTAAATTAAGACTGAGATATTTCTGAATTCTAGAATGAGCAAGGTGCTTGTAGCGTGGGGCAAGGTGGCCAGGACACTACCGGGCTTGGACTCCAGTAGGGAAAAGGGCAAGCATTCTGCTGACAGGGAGCATCGTGGACAGATGGAAGGAACATCATGTGCGAAGGGGATCGCAGGGCTCCGGTCTGTGCGTCCAGTTGCTGTTCACTTCTCATATTCTTTAGCAGCTCCTGCTTCAAATCCTCAATAGGATTTTTGCGGCGGCAGCACTCCTGATCCCATTCAGCGACGAGCTTGGGGCAGCACAGGTCGCCGCACTGAACGGGTCCTGGGGTATTGTAGCTTGACAGCATTGAAAAATTGCCTCCAGGGCATGTATTGTCAACCAGGTGTGGACTTGGATAACAAACATATTCTTCTGGACTTTGCTTTGGTTTTTTCTCACAGCTTGATGAGCTCTTTTTACTTGAACAACTACTCAAGCTTGTTGCGGAATTCTTGTGTTTACTTTTTGCAGTATAGCTCGATCTAGTATTCCGACCTGAACCACTCCCTTTCGACGGGTTTGTTGGGGAGCCGCGTTTTAGGGCAGTACATCTTGTACAGCCTTTGGCTCTCTTCGATTCTGATTTGTCCGAGTCAACTAGAGTTGAATCACTATTCGTGTTCAACACAACCCTTTTCCGCTGTGATCTTGCTTGCGCTTCGTTGCAAGGTCTTATAGTTGGACGCAGGGGCTGGACGCAAGGGCTCTTATCCTGCTTCTGGATGGCTGTACCCACATCACAGCTGTTTTGTGAGCTCCCATTCTTAGACGGCCTTGAAAATTTGCCTCCCTTATTACCAGGAGGACATGTTTTATTGAGAGGGCAGCCACTTGTATTCATAGAAGTTTTTTTTTTTTGTCCCTTGCTTGGAAAAGATGTCGATTGATTCTGCGAGCTGTAGCCGCTGCCACGGCTTTTGGGTCTTACATTTTTAAAGCTGTTTTCCCCGCAACCGCCTCGTGGTTCGTCTCTATGCGCCTTGCTGGCGCATCCCTTCTGACATTTAGAGCTTGCGCTTTTGAGGCACGACTGAGCTGGGCTGGGCGGCTCGCATACACGTACTTGGCAAGTCGGCTGAGAGTTCACACTGCATGCAGCAGTACTCTCGCAATGGCTATGGCACTTGGACTCAGATGATGTAACTCTCGGTTGTTCCACCAGATTCCCATCCACTGTGCGTATAGTTAGGCAGATATTTATTTGACTGGGCTTGGCGGGATCGCAAGTTTCCTTGAACTCATTATCGTCGCATTTACAACTGGTGCAACAATTGTGAGTTGGACATTTGTCGCTACAGTTGTCGGTACAATTGTCGCCCCAGTTGTAGCTACTACTGTTGCTAAAGTTTGCGCTACAATTGTCATCAAAGTTTCCGCTACCACTGTCGCTATAACTGCTTTTGTTGTATTTCTTGTATTTGTCACATATACTGCAATCATCTAGGCTAGAATCAGAGGCTGCTCTACATGGTTCACTATATTTTGAATGACCGTGTTCATTCTGAGCGGAATTCACCCTGCTGCGTTCACTGGAGTTGAGTACGTTGTACATTGAATATTCTTGGTATTTTCTTCCATAGTCTTCCTGGCCCTGTCCTCTATATCCGGTGGGGTAGCGGCACTGGTAGTCGAGAGGTTTCCTCATAAAGTTTTGTTCAGCGCCAGAGAAAGATCTCTCCTCTTGAATTTTCCTCTCGTTTTTTGTCGACATGCCACATCCCATGGAGGTAAAGTTGAAGCAATTAACCGGCTTGTAACCTTTAAGTACCAGAGATTTGCTTTTAAAAAGATTGGATCTGGTAAGGGAAAGTTTCGATTTCTTAACCAAACCAGATATGCGATCTTTTAACCCTTTGCGGTCAGGATGTCGTCTGTCATCATGCGAGTATTTATTGGAAGCACAACTCTGAGGACCAACTGAGTGGTGTGATTCGTTATTTACAGTTAGTTTGGAGACAGATAACGCCGGTAAAGTATCACAGCCTGCATCCAAGCATTTGTGCGCCGATTTTTTTTTATGCTGAGACGGGTGGATCCGCTCTCTTCTTCTATAGGGTATCTCGACAGGAGAGAAGTGCACAATGGGACTTTCAGTCATCTGGTACTTACAAATTTTATGGGGCACTTCCAAACCCTCACCGTAATATTTAAGCTTGACAAAGTCTGCCGATTTAGCTATTTTTTTCGATTCTTGATGATTAGGTGTATAGTCAGAGGAGTACTTAATTCTCTGAGGAATGTCGACAAAATAATGGTATTTCTTCGAGGGAGTTTCTCTTCTTAATTGTTGTTTTTTCCTTTCATTATAGTGAGGTTTTCGATAAGGAATTTCTTCCTTAAAAAATATATCAAGGGAGTTTATCGGAGAGTCTTGGCACTCTTTGTCATGATTTTTATCTCTTTTCGGAGAAGAATTCTTCTTCTTGTAATTAAAGCTATCGCTTTGCTCTAGCATAGCTTCCGAATTATTATAATATCTATCAAATTGCTCAATGGGTGCATTTTCGCATTCGTCTTCTGCATCCGCCTCACCCCTGTAATATTTATGGGATATTTTTATAGGACCCTGGCCGTCCGTATAGGTAGGGTTATCATACGTTTCATAATATTTGGAGGCGCTTTTTGGGGAAGGTTTGCCTGGCGGATGCGTTCGTGGGGCATGCCTTGCATCATAATAATCATAGCCTGAAAACTCTCTGGGGGTGCCACCAGGTGCTCTCTCCTTGTAATTAACATCGTTATTATAGACTGGTCCATGCGGATCAATATTACCATATATTTTTCCGCATTTCCTTAAGTCGTGGTATGAGTTCGAAGAATTGTAGCACGGGGAATTGTAGTTCAATGGATATCCGTGAGGTACTGTCCCCTTTACTTGTAAGCGCGTGCGTTGCTCCCATGGCGGTCTATAAACGGGAATGCTGGTGCTAGACACTAAATACTCTCCGCTGAATACATCATGGGATGGGGCCTCCGAGTGAGGATTAAAGTCTCTATAAGATGGCGATGTGCGAGGTCCTACTGGCGTAACTTTTGAATACGATAAATGCTCTCTATGTGGATGAGGTGAACAGTGTGATTCGTGGTACTGCTTGGGTACATTCTGGTAGTACTCATGGGCGTATGCATATCCGGGATCGGCATATGCCTGAGCTCTAAGGTTATTGGTCTCTTGAGGATAATGTGGCCTGAAGTCTGGTTCGTACCCTGGCTGCCTTATCGCTTCTCGTCTCGGTTGGAGTTCGGGTGGATAATATCTCTCGTATGCCATCTCTGAGCTATCAAATTCATGTGTCGGGGTTTTGCACCAAGTGGCATTTCCTTGAGGAGACTCCTCGTCCCGGTTCCTGGCTATCTTATAAGTTCGATGATGAAAGTGCTTACGGCTTTTGGTAGACTCTTTATGGCGATCGCGTCCAAGGATATGACGTGTGTGTTCGCTTTGCCCAATATCATGACTTTCGGCATAGAATTTATTGGGTTCTCCAAAAGAAACCGCGCCCTCCTTAATTCGATTCCCCAGCCCCCCACCAGGATTTCGACCTAAAAATATGTTTATATTTTAGTGTTTGGGAATGTACCTACATTGAAACTACCTTGAATCGACTTACTTTTTCCATTGCTGTCCAAGGCCCTTTCCGCGTCTTTCTTATGTTGATGGTGATGGTGGTATCGCACTTCCTCAGAAATATCGATATTGAAATGCATCAAATCGTTCTCCATCTCGGTGCCCTCAATGCGGATATGGCTTTTGGAGCTCATAGTTAATTCCATTTTTACCAGCCCCGCACTCAAGCGCCCACAACTAGCTAATTTTATACTGAATTTTTTACATGATTAATTTTTGTATATGAAGTGACAGGTGGGAAGATTGTTTGAAACTATTTTTTATTTTTAAACAAAGTCCTAAATCGACTTGTGGATATGTTAACCTGACTTGTGGTAGCTTTGTTAAAATATTGGCTGGTGTCCATATTTCCTCATCATCTTAGAGCAAGGAAATCAGTGATAAATCGTTGTTTTGGACAGTAAAGTAAAGTAAATTTAAACTAAAAAAGTCCATTATGTAAAGGTAAGCACATTCCTGGGATCTGACCCTGGGACACATTTAATAGAAGCGAGCGCCATTCGGTTCAAATTTCCTGTCTTTGCAGTGCCAGCTTTTAATTGCAGCATTAACGCCCCAAGTGGCAACAACAAAGGATATGAACGCCAGGGCGAATGGTGGCAAATCGGAGGGGAATGGTAGTCATTACTTGAAGGGTGCTAGAAAATATGTTTTTAATTGCGGAAATATTTCCATTTCAAAAATGGATGTGATAATTATTCAGAATTGCGCAAATTTCCATCACATTAAAAGTGCAGACAATGGGGGATTGTAAAATGCAGCTAGCGGATAATGAAACCGTGTTCAAGTGCGGAAATGCTGAAAATTATTTCAATGAAACAGAACTAAGTGGTTTTTAAGTGCCCCAACGGTGGGAGGAGTACTCGAATACGGACACGGAAACTCTTACCAGCCAGCTTTATAGAACGCAATGAAAAGCGACAAATGCGTAGTATCCTGTACAAACAGAAAGCTAATCTCTTCAGGTTAAAAATCATTTCCCGAGAATGTTATTTTTTCACAGAAGTAAGAATGAAGACGGTTCTGATTTGGAAAGCATATGCATTGAAATGAATATCACATGCAAACCGAATATTAATCTCATCAAGGATTCTCCTTGACGGAGACTCGATCCAGTTAATACACTCCATCGTGAGGCATATGCATTGGTAGAGAGTGACAAATGGGTGTAGCCTGCAGCTCTCCTTGCTGATTGCTGGCTTGGACCCGGTCAGGAGTCCTCAATTTCGTCAGATCAACCGCCTTGGGAATTCAATGGAAAATAATAATTTCAAATATAACCTTCACCAAACTTCATACTTCAATTTACAAATTACAACTTATAAGCACTTTTTTCAGTGCATTTTTGTCATGGGGAAGCACAGCTGGCCATCCAGGGCCGGAAAATTATTTAATTGACAGCTAATAACGCGGGGCTTTGATGTCGCTAATTGCGCGAATCGAGTCAAAAGGTGAAGGTGCTATAAAAGCTATAAAAGCCACCCACCTATTCCTGAACCACATTCAGTGCAAGTAAAATTACGGAATGACACCTAACGAGACCCTGATACAGACCAGAACGGACTACTTTCGCGACCAGTGGCGAGCCTGGCGAATTCTGGGAGCCCTACAGCTCAATGGCCGGAAATATCGGAGTGGAGCCATGGTGCTCAATATTTTCGTGGCCTTGTACCCGCCTGCGCTTCTGCTATCCATGTTCAGCTTCGATACGCCACTGGAGAATATCACCAACTTCAGCCTGTCCATAACCTCGTCGGCCACTATTCTGAAGTTCGGCCTGTATGTGCTGCAGCTGCAAAGGCTCACGGAAATGGAGAAGGTTATCGCCAGGTTGGACGATCGTATAGAAGGAGCAGAACAGTATCGGTGCCATCGCCTGATGGCCAAAACGTTGCGCCATTTATCCAACCTGTTCCTGTACACTTACGGCTTCGTCCTCTTGAACTCGGAAGTTTCGTTCCTATTTAAGAGCGAGCGGAGCTTGCCATTCCCCTCGTGGTTCCCCTTCGACTGGAAAAGCTCGACGATAAACTACATCGGAGCCCTGTGTTTTCAGTTAGTCTCAATTTTCTGTCTGATTCTGCAGAACTTTGCGGACGACTCTTTTCCGCCGCTGGCCCTGTGCTTATGTGCGGAGCACTGTCAGCTGCTGATCCTGCGCATCTCCAGTATTGGCCACGGGTCCAACGAGCAGGACGCCAACGAAGCAGAACTTGTCAGATGCATCAAGGACCAGAAGGAGCTCTATGGGTAAACAACTCAAACTGCCGCCTGCACCCGATTATTCATAGGACACAAGCCAAAAGTACTAACACTCGGAAATAACTTTATTTTCAGATTACTTGAGCTCATAAGCGCCGTCATCTCGTGGCCCATGATGATTCAGTTCTTCGTCATGGCCCTCAATATTGCGGCTACCATGTTCGGTCTGGTCTTCTTTGCGGAGGCCATGCAGGACCGAATGTACTTTGTCTCATATCTGTTAGCTCTCGTCCTGCAGACATATCCCATCTGCTTCTACGGCAGCCTCCTGGAAGAGCGGTTCGGGCGACTCCACTATGCAGTCTTCTGCAGCAATTGGATGAACCAGAACCGCAGATACCGTGCCAACATGATGATCCTCGCTGAGCGAACCAAGCGGCATCCGCGTTTGCTAGCGGGCAACCTGGTCCCCATTCACCTGAGCACCTTTCAGGCGAGCTGTAAGGCGGCCTACTCTTTCTTCACCCTGATCGGCAACACACGGGACAAGGCGGGGCCGAATCACAATCAGAACTAGGTTTCATTTTCGATTAGCTACGAGTAGTTACCTGGTTATATAACTCACAAGTTCAAGCACTAGCAGCACACAAAACACAGTCTTTCAATAAATACACAAGTTCACCTTGCACGTAAATCAATTGTGGTAAAATTTTGCGTTAACATGGCTATGGAAACAATTTTGGGCATCAAGGGACCGGACTTCGTCATGCTTGCCTCTGACACAATGCAGGCCAAGTCTCTGATCTTCGTGAAAGATGGTAAGCTATTGGCTCCTTAGCCCACTCAACACCCGATAGTAGTAATCCCTTGGGGTCCTTTCAGACCAATCGAAAATACACCGTCTCTCGGACTACTCCATGATGGCCACAGTGGGCGATGGGGGCGACACCCTTCAGTTTACGGACTATATATCGAAGAACCTGCATCTGTACAAGATCGCCAACGGGTACCATCTGAGCCCGCGTGCCGCAGCCCACTTCACCCGCAAGAATCTGGCCGACTATATAAGGACCAACACGCGATACCAGGTGGCAATGTTGCTGGCCGGCTACGACGCCGTCGAGGGACCCGACCTGCACTACATCGACTCCTACGGGGCTGCCCAGTCCATTGACCACGCCGGCCACGGCTGGGGCAGCATTTTCTGTGGCAGCATCCTGCAAAGGTACTGGAACCAGAAGCTGAGCCAGGCGGAGGCTGTCTCCATCCTAAAGAAGTGCGTGGCCGAGATCCAGAAGCGTTTAATCATCAACCAGCGAAATTGGGACGTGTTCGTTGTGGACCGTAGTGGGATGCGTCAGATGGAGAGCATCAATCCGGCCTCTCTGAGCTTTGATGTTCTCAGCTTGAACTGGTAGAAGGGAACTTGAGCTTAAAGGTCCTCACATCGTGTTCAGCAGTTTCTTAAAGCCAAATAATTGTGCACTTGATTTTGGCAAACTTTTATTTTAATGCTCGAACAATTTCCCAGGGATTAGTCGACGTGGCCAGCTCGGTGAAGAGTGGGTAAGCCTCTCGAGGGTGGGGATTTGGCTGGTGAGAGTACATGGCACGGCTGAATTCGTCCATGTATTAGCATATGTGGCCTCCTCTTGTTCTCCGCATAACCGTACATACTCGTACATGCCATCTGTCTGGACGATGGGATAGTGAGTGAGTGGGTTTGTTTGTGCAACAATGACACATACTCGTACAGAAATGGAGTGGTGACTGCTACATGAAACGCCAACTGTTGCGAATCGGAAGCAGAAAAGCCAACATGTCTCTATTTCCCATTTGAACAGCATTCAGTCAGCCAGACAGTCTGTCAGGGGGTGGAGTCAGCAAAACTCATAAAAATGAGCACAGATTGCTGCAAAAATGCACTGACATTGTGCGGTGTTTAGCTGAGGTTGAGTCCAGGGTTTGCCCAGCTGGCATGGATGCAGACGGAGTCCGGAGTGCCCAGCGAGTCAGCCAGTTCTGTGTGTCTGTCAGCCGCCACAGTTGAAGTTTTCATTGCTAATTGGCCGCACATGACAGAGTATCACCAATTGAGGTGGTCCTTTGGCAGAGATTCGAGCCGTGAAATGTCAACAATTGCAAGGAAAAAAACGGCAATGAGTAGCGGATACCTTTTCAGAAAGATTCCCTATGGGAGTCGAAAAGTCGATTGTTTCAAATTATATTGCAATTATATTCGCAGTACCAAATCAAGTACAAGTGTGTATTTGAAATACATACAGTACAATACATTTTTAATATTGTGTTTTTGGTTTAAATTAGCAAAGACATTAAAACAAGAACAAAGTGCTTGAAAACTTTTTGATAAATCATATTCACATAGAATTTTTTTAAAGTAAACGTGCAGCAAGTGCTCTTAATAAGCTCCGCACGTAATGTGCGTGCCATTAGAAATTAATTAGCAATTTAATTTAATGGACGAGTTCAAATGATTACAAGAGCTTCTGAACAACATGCATCAGCCTCGTGGAATATGAAGCATATTGAAATTTAATTGATTTATCTAAAAAAAAACACTCGCACATATGTATATTGGATAGTCAAAAACGAATACGTATAAATGAACAGTTTTTCCGATACAGCCCCACCCTCCACAGTGTTTGGAAATGTTTTTTTTTGGAGCAGAGGAAAAACTTTTGACATGTGAGCGTCTCAAATGAACGCTGCTGTCTCACGCCACCTGGCGCTCGTCTCTCTCCAGACCTGTCGCGCTATGAAATATATTCACGTGCGGAGGAAAACTTAGTGTCTCCGACTCGGGGCAAGGAGATAATGTGCATGTAACCTCCCGTGTAACCATACTCCGACTTCTGCCAGCCCAGCCCAGCCCAGCCCAGCCTCCGCACTCGTCGCCATCTTCCCCAACCGCGAGCCAGCCAGCAATTTGTGACGTTTAGGGGCGCAACGAGGCAGCGACTTCTTGACAGGACATTAACTTCCTTACCAGGAGCAGCTTCTTCGGAGTCGCCACATCCGACTGTCTGACTGCTTGCGGATGAGTGTGTGGACGACTCTGATGATGATTCATGATGATGATCCTTGCAGTTTTCTTCTCCCTGTTGTTTCCGTTGCCATTTTCGTCGTCATTTTTCATTGAAAAGAGGGCGTGCGGAGTGGGAGTTGGAGGAAGAGGGTCTTTTTCGACAGCCTATTAGTTTTTATTATTTGTTGCAATTAGTTTCCCGGCCTCCGACGGATACGGGTCCAAGGACGAGTCCGGCCCCAGGCCCAGCGGCCTCTGCTCTTCTTTTATGACACTTTTCTGCACATTTTTCACCGGAATGAGCGTCATCTGTTGCCGCTGGCTGCCACGACTGCGTTTTTCTCGCTGGCATTGACAAGAGCCAAACAATGGCAGGCCGGTCGTACTATCTATGATAAATTATGGCTAAAAGTCAAAGTCATCAATCAGAGGGCCATGCTTTATGTACCGCTCGTGGGCATTTGCCATTTGTTTCGAGCCCCGCCCCAAGACTCACACCAAGTCGCACGCCCACGCCCACGCCCAGCCAGTGGCATATGCAGGAGGATCTGGGGTACAAGACAGATGGTGGCCAGAAAGGATTAAATATAAATCGCAAGTGCGTAGACAACCCAGGTGTCGGTGGCCAGGCGACAAGCATTTCGATTTAATTTTCATTAAAATTCAGCCATTAAATATGCAAAGGGTAAACTGCGGCCAAAGCCCATTAAAATTCCTTGAAGACTGGGCGACTCGAGCCCTAACACGCTGCTGCAGGGGGCCCGGATCCCTACAGGTGACTCCTTTTCATTTTCGAGTGCTTATTAAAATTGCAAAGGTCCAGGATTTGCGGACGTTATGATGCGGTGGATGCGAATTTATGCGGCTCTTAGCTGAAGCCGTAGCCGTTGCCCAGACCCGGTCCCAGTGCTCGCTGTCGACATATTTGTGCCAGCCTCAGCTGCGTCCTCCTCGTAGCAGTTTTTTACTCCTGCTTGCTGTTTAATTATGCATTTTTATCTGGAAGTCGTTCGGACTGGGGCCAGGCCAAAGGCAGAGTGAGTTCGGGCATCCTTTCTCAGGGCGAAACCACAGCCACTTTGCAACTCGAGGTATGAAATCTGCAAATCTATGGCATCAGCAGCTTCACAGCACTGAGAGAAATTAGTGAAAAATGGGAAGAGAAATAAATATGATACACATGTGAAATACTTTAATTGTCGACCATTTACAATTGGTTACATCGGGAATGTAAATACATATGTAAGTACTATGGTCCTGACGGCAGAAAAATATAGTTAATCACACACTAAATTAAATATTGGTTTTTCTGCGTGCAACCCATCGGTTCCCTGACTAGAATATAAGCAGAAAACCGCATATGTTTCCCACTTCGAATCTGCAGTCACAGATATAACGGGGCCTTCTTTAGCTATTGAAAGTCCCCCAGGCATCGCCGGAGTATCGATTACGTCTGCCTCGCATTGATGTCACCAGCAGCAGCCGATTGGAACCCGACAATTGACAACTAAAGTTGCAATTAGGAGCAACAGAAATCCTTTTTGCCCTTCTCCAACATTCTATTCCATCCGTTACGCCATTGGAACCACAGGAATACAAAATGAAAGGAAACTTTTACGACATACACATACACACGCACCCGTCCTGCGTTCGTTCGGCATGTCCCCCCGGTGAAGGTGCGCTCAGGTTTTTAGTTATGCAGGGTAAATGCCTTGGGGAAATTAGTGGAAAACGAAAAGTGTTGTACGCAAACATTCGTTTCACAAGTATTTTGTTGGGGTCTGCTGGTTTATAGGACCCAGTTACGTCGTTTGAAAAACCTGGCGGAACGTTTTTTTTTTGGTAAATGTCTTCAGTGCTAAATTTATTTTTAAGCCATTGTTATTTCTTTTGAGACAGAATCCATGGATCCACCCGATAAGCTTATTGCTAAAATTGCATTTTGTACAACAAACCCATCAATACACGGCCTATAAATTACCCCTTTGGCAGACGATCGCGTCAATATTCTCCTCTGTTGCAACCGATTTTAATTCGTTGCATTCGACGGGCATAAATCACGACACATGTGGGCTGCCTTTGGGTGGTGGCCTGAACCATAAGGGCTGTGGAATCGATTGCTTGCAACAAAATGTCCCAGTATTAAACACCATCGACGGCATAATTTATGGGGATGCGCGGATTCCAGACCGCGACGGACCCGGATACACATGTGACATCAGCAGGGACCTTTGTGACATTATTGCTGTCCTTCAGGCGTGAGCTTTCCGATGACGAAGCATTCGTGTGGTGGTGCCTGAGAGTATGCTTTAACTATTTTTAACTCTAACTATCTAAACTACTAGCTTTATATGACCAGATTATAGATAGACATAGATTTTTAGAAACGCGTGGAAGAGAATCTTTTATAAACTACATTTTGATGGAATAATTTGTAGCTGCTATGGAGAACGAAAATATAGAGAGGATACACTCTCTGTGAAATTGATATCTATGTACTCAGATATTTTCACATCTCTTCCAATTCCTAATTTCTGTTGGAGTTCTAGAGTGCAAAAATGTTTTCTCACCTCCTGTCGGGGAATACTCTCAACATATTTTATTCCAACAGTTTCATTCGTCTATTGTGCTGTAAAAAAGTTCATATATTTTTGTATAATACAGTTCCTCCATCTTCCATCCTATGTACCATCATACATGTTGATAATCCCACAGCCCAGCACTTCACATACTTTTCCCCATGTGCTCCTAAACTGCATGTGGAGCTAGAAAAAATACACACGAGTATAAAAAGAAGTGGGAGAAAGAGGTGGCAAGGGGAAAAAATCCATAAAAAGTTGCAGTTAAACTTTTCAACATTTGTCAGAGTCAGAGGATTTGTTTGCCTTTGGGGCTGGCCAAAGCCAACATTTTGCCGGCTCTGGGATCGCTCCCGCCCCCCATCTAGATGGAAAGCAACCCCCTTTATCTACTCTCGTCTCAGCCACCCCCTCAATTGGTCCGTCCGTCTGATTGTTTGCTTATTTTGCTCGTACGTCCCACTATTTGTTTTCTTTCCAATTTTGTAATTTCAAACTTTTTCTATTGATTTCTTGGCACGCATGAACACCTTCAGCAGCAACAACGACGACAGTTAGGGACGGCGACAGCGGGAGTGGTAGAGTTGCCAAGTTTCTTTGAGCAGGGTTGGCGCAGGAGATTTGGAAGGTGGGAGGGCATTCAATTTAAGTTGGGGGCTGCGCTGGCTGTCAGGGGCCTGCCTCCCCCTGGTGACCATGCGTGGAAGAAATGCAAGGAAAAAAAGAAAGTTCATAAAAAAAAACAAAAGAAGGCAAAAGAAGTGGTGAAACTTTCCAATGCACTTAACACTCTGTTTCACAACCGAAGGAAGAAAAAGGAATGAAGGAAAAACTGTCAGTTGCATTGCAACACATTTATTAATGTGTCAATCGGATTGAAGACCTCCGCAGCCAGAGTAAAACGATAAAGTTGCACCCTACTCCAGAGGGCTGGCACGGGCTCAGGGTTAAGCGTGCTCTATCTGACCCAGCGCGAGTGTTAATCAATTTTCTAAAAAAGGGAAAACATTTCAAGACACAAAATGATTACATGACCCATCCCCCAGGCAGAGTCCCCAGTCCTGCTTCCAATCCGGGTCCCAATCGCAGCACCCTTCCTATTTACGGCCGCCGCAAAGCAATTGTAATTATTCGAATTGTTACTCGTCGCTTGCCTAATGACTATTAGCTAAATGAAAACATTGCGTGCCGGCGACATTTTATTTGAGTGGAGAGGACATGCACCAGCGCTCCATACCACAGCCCACCACAGCAGAACACAGCACAACACAGCAGTCCGCAATACAGTCGGGTAGGGGCAGGCCAGTGCTTTATTTGCTATATTTCATGCCTGCCTGCACTTATCTCCGATTGTTCATCGGAAGGGACAGCCACAGGCTGCCCTGCCGGACTCGCCAAATGTAATTTGGCTTGGGGGAGAGCTTCGATTCCTTTTTATGTTCTAATTACTTGCCCCTCACAAAAACGCCACTTCAATTTGAATTCAAATAAGTGGGGGCGCTGGTGCCAGCACCAACCTTAGCCTGGACACAGTTGGCGCCACAACTTTTAATTACAGCCACACAAAATTGCAGATGCAGCGCGGCGCTCACAACCTCACAACCTCAAACCCATATACTCGTAAAGCCTGCCAGAGCCCAGGCCCCAAACCCCAAATGGGAATGGACATGGCATTTGGAAATCCAAATCCAAAAAGCATATTAATTGCGGACTGCGTAGGCGTCTACTGTAATAGTATATAATCGATTTAAGCATGGGCATTAAGTGGGCAAGGGTCTAAATTGCAATTTCATGTATGACAAATGGGTTTCGGGTCTGGAAAGCAGTCAACTGATGGGACAAGGAAACAATATTCGCACTTTAAATTGAGTTTATTGAATGGGTTTTGTTGCACAGGGCCTGGCCATGCTCTTGCGTAGGAGTCCGCACAAAAGGAAGACCAATCGATATTTTTCCATTCATCTGTGTCTTGGCTCAGCAGCTGGGGGTTTCTCCAATTAGAAGCTGTTGCATGTAGCAATTGATCATCAAAATCAGTCCATACGAGACAGTCCCTATCCATCTGCATACCCGTATACTGGTACATACTCGTGCGATATAAACCACCCAGGGCTCGTTATTGTTGCCACTGGCTACGGCTACCCCGTCAATTGCAGCTGGTGGTGGCTGCACCACAAAATTCAACGCAATTTGTAAAATGAAATCGATTCAATTGATTGTTGACTCCGACAAACACACACACCCTGGCACAGCCATTGTGCAACCTCGCACACACAGAGCGAAGACCATCCTCGTCCTGAAACTAGGGCTGGAGCAGGAAGCGAGTACGAGTTCGAGTTCGAGTAGTACGTACGAGTAATGCCAAGCGACGACGGTGACAGGTGTCTGAGGGTGGACGTGTCCATAACGCTGTCATCCCATCCCAGCCTGCTATGCAAGTATGTTTGTATGTATGTATGTATGTATGTGTTTCTGTGTGCATTGCACTTTGCTTGATTAAATTTCAATATTTACTAAAATGTCGCCGAACTCTTTCTGACAGCTCTGTAAATTTCATAACCGGAATCGACATAAAATATGGTCAACTGTGTGTAAATATAAGCTTGACAAGCGCATAAGTTGACTGAAATGGCTTTCGGTGGTGTCCTGTTATCTGGCTCCTTTGTTACTGGTAATTTGTTGCACTTTGTCATGTGCTTACCGTTACAAAAAATGAAAAACCAACTGGATTTTGTGGATAACTGGTATTTTGAAGGCATCAAATGGGAAAAGCAATTACTCAATGCTTGATTAGCAGATGCTTTTTACGTCAAAATATTAAATTCACATTAAGTAACAAGTCGGAATAGTTAAATTAAATAAAATAAAATTACAAGCACAGAAAGGAAAATACTTTCTGTTTGTGAAGTTAAAGTAACGGAATTTAAAAGTGATCACAGATGGATAAAAGCAACACTCATATGATCGTCGTTGACGTAGAGTGAGTTCAACAAGGCACGATAATATTTAACTTACCCACGCCACTGTTTTCAGAGATAAAGCTGAAAGAAGTTCATCTGAAGATACACTTGAGAAGTAAGTTTTACAAGGTACTCGTACTCTAGAATGCCTTTTACCCACCCACTGTACTGTTTTCAGCAATGAGGCTCGGAAAAGTGAACCTCACGAGGGCATATCTGATATGATGAGCGAGATGGCTATAGGAGGCGCCCATAAGATCGATTATATTAAGGAGTAAGTTCTTCCAAGTTTTTTTCCCGCACTTACTTCAATGTTTGCAGTGCCGAGCTGGAGGAAAGTTCAAGTCAGTCACCACAAAAGGACACATCTGTGGCAGATATATTTGCAGATGCGATAGAGCCCAAGACTGTTGACGCATTTGACAAAGGACATAAAGATGAAGAGCCCGTTTCCAATATTCAGGAGCTTTCTGATGCGATGGACCTGCTCAGTGTTCATCCAACCCATGAAACTGAGACTAGTGATTCGGAGAACGATAATATCGAAAAGCAAGAGGGATCGAACATTTATGGCCCTGGTCAGCTTCCCATTTTTATGTGGGATTTCAGCTCGGACGAGGATGAACCCGTAATACCCGATGTCGATATTAATTACGATAATATCTTTAAGGATCTGAGTAAGCTGAGCGCTGTGGAGAAGCACCTCCAGCTGCTCTACAGACCCTTCAGCTGGGTAATTGATTTGATCTGTCGGTTCAATATATACGAACTGTGCATCCTGATCCCTGACTCCCGCTACGACCCGGGCTGCCATCCCTCGGTCTCGGTCAAGACCGTCAATCCCACTGGCTTGGTCAAGATCTATGCGGGTGGCAAGACAGTGGCCACCGGTTTGACCGCCGAGTCGGCTCGGATCTCCTTGTCCAAGGTGGTTCGGATGGTGGAGGAGCTAGACTTCAAAATGGACGTGAAGAGCCTCAGTCGGAACATTGTCCACGCCTCCTTCTGCATGCCCTTCAAGCTTGACCTGGACCGTCTGTACGAGCAGCACTACATGAAGGTGACCCGCAACTGCCGCACTCGGCCCTTCATCACATACAACACAGAGGGGGAAAACGTAGTTTTTGCTGTCTTTCCCAGTGGATTCGTCCTGGTCCTACACTCGACCAAGCATTCGGAAACCCGAGCCGCCATTGCTGCCTTCTTGCCGATCCTGGCCCAGTACAAGGTTGAATATCCCAACCAGGCCAAAAAGAAGGTTCGGCCAAGCGGCGACATTTCCTATAGGCTGCTCTGGGAGCACAGACTAGAGGAGGACAAGGTTGGCCAGCTCCTTTACTCCTAGAACTCTTTTACCAGTGCCCTTCTCCCTGTTCATAGATTGCCTCTAGTTTGTTATGTTTCATTTCATTTTTCTGCTCTGAAATACAGTGAACATTTGTCATAAACCAAAGTTCCGCACGTGCACTGTTTACACTCTCGAGTTGTGAAACTTGTTTAAATATGTGATTTATTTTCCAGGCAGCTGCTCCAGCCACAGATGTTGTGCGACCACCGAGCAGCCAGTGACACTGTATTGCTTGCAACCGGTGGAAATATAGGGCTAGGCCTGGTCCAGGCCCGGACCAGGACCAGGACCAGAGTCGCCTCAGACATCATCCGGCCAAAGTTGCTCCAAACACACAGAACAACAAACAAATTGCTGGAGAAGTTGCAGCTGGGAGGCAACTGCGAGGCGACTGGGAAGCGAACTGCAACAGGCGCATACATAAATAACGAAACATTTTCGCACACTTGCCGCAACTTTCTAGGCAGGATGTCACATTATGCGGAACAAGTTTGCTCTTCCCTCATGCACTTTTCCGACGTGCCAAAAGCACCTACCCGAATGCTTTGAGCCTGGCCTCTGAACTTTTGGCGAACAATTTTGACTGGAAGTCCCCATTTTTCGTATTTACAAATCTGCTATGCGTAATTACTCAAGTTACATATTTGGAACATCGATTTTATGCAGATACTTTCGATATTATGGTTTTAAAAAAATCTCTTTCCACTTTTTAGATTTAAACACAACATCCTTTTTAAGAATATGCATTCCTTGGACTCATGGGCCACTTTTAAGCCTGTGTGAACCTATCTGAGATAGGCTCAGTACGTCCAGGATTCTTCTACAAGAAATTTGTAGATCCACTGGGAACTTTAAGTGGAGGGCTGGTTGGTTTGACCGAAGTGAGAATAGGGCTGAGTCGGCGGAGGTATATATAACTATAAATATATATGTGTAGGAAAGACTCCCTCTCATGTCTTTCCTACAAGTCAATAAAAAAATCTTCTGCCATGGAAGAGCAAAATAGTACGCAACCTATCTTTCCTAAATTGAGGTATTAAACTTAGTTGCCCCAGAGCACTTATTGGCCATATTATGCGCTGGGGAAAAACGACCAGAAAGTGGGGAAAACTAGCGATATGATGCAGAAATCGATAGCGATGAGCTGATGTGGTGGCAATCGAGCCTGGGAATCCTGGGAATCCGGGGAATCCGATTAAAAAGTTTAACCATCAAAGTTTAAGGAGATGAAAATATGGAAGGAGGGCAGAGCGACTTGCCGTTTTATGAATTATGCATTTTCGCCCAAGGACTTTTTATTACAAAGCCACAAATTATCCAGCTTGCCGACCAACGAAAAGGGTTGCGGCTGCCTTTGAAGATTAGGCAACTGTTTTTGGGGGGTGGCTTCGGGCTGGCAGTAACTGTTTTCGCATTTTTAAGTGCATATCAACTGCATGAATGTGAAAGAGAACCTTATTGAATTCGAAATGCTACCAATAAAGATTGAGGGGAAAACCTGACCACTTTCTGGAACAACCCATCACGATATTGCGGGAAAAAGTGTGCTGAATAAATTTATCCCACATTCATAAGGATTTTATTACAGTGGAAACAGTGCTCTGGCGGATAACCGCACCCAAAAAGGTGTCGTAAATGGACTTTTGCAATTTTAATAACTACTCAAAGTGGCAAACTGGTTCATTAACTATCAACGGGCAGCCCCACAGTTGGAAAGACTTTTAGCATATTTAACAAGCTGGAATTTAAATGAAAATTAAACCCACTCCAGGAGCTACAGCTGGAAGTCCTCGGTACAGTGCCCCAAATGTGTTTGCTTTGAAAAATTAAAAAAGCTAACAAATTATTCCGTATGCATATGAGATTCCTGATTTCTCCTCACTTCTGCAGGGTTATATTTTTAATGGCTCATTGGATGCCGGTGCTCACACTGGGATAACCTTCTCCTTAATCAGCCAGCACAATCGGGCCCAAAACATCAACCAGATTCCACGAGCAGAATTGAATGAGATCGCGGTCTGCTTGGTTTGCCCTAACGAAATAACAGAAATAGAGCTTACGGTAGAAAAAATACATAGCCTGCCCGAGGGTCGCATCTGTTAAATCGTCAAAATCATAGTTAAAGTATCTTTAAAAGTGTGCAAGCCACAGGTAAGTCCCTAACCTGGAAAACTAGAATAGCATACATCGAATGAGCCCTGGAACAGCTCTTTAATTAAACTTGACATTTATTTTCCCAATTATACGAACTTTGCCTTTGTTCCATTCTGTGGAAAATTGTCAATTAGGCCTAGAGACAGAGCAAGTAGAAACGAGCATGAAAATTGTTAGAATTTTTGGTGATGGCAAAGAGAATGATTATTTGAAATTTTCTTCGGCACATGTTAGCAGTCCTCGTCCTCTGTCAATAGTCGTATAAGGTGTATTCCTTGGATTGAGGGCGAATACATAAATCTAAAATTCGGAGCGCCAATAAATTTTCATTTTGATAAACCCCCGTAAGCCTTTTCATGGCCAAAAACAAACTTCTGTGATTTATGAAGTTCCCGGCCACTTTCCTGCTCCTTGGGCAATAAAACACACAAACCCATCAGAGCCATCTATGAACACGATACAAAACTTTTTCCTCATTCCCCGCAATCTCTCTTCATTCTGTGCTCATAAGTATTCACATTTTAAAGACTCCATTCACACAAAAAATAAATGTACATACATATATATGTAATATTAACTAATCTTTATGGGGCGAAAGAGTGTTTTTTTCTGCCCATAAAACCGGAAAGTTCTCGCAAATAAACTTAAGTGTCAAAACAAATTACTTTTTAGTGTTACTTAAAAAAACGTTGGTAGGGCACCATAAAAATTATTATAATAAAAACTGTTCATCTGTTAATACAATTTCTATAAAAATCATCCGTTTCAATTACAATATCATTTGAGTCGTTTGCCATTTGGCCACAGCTTGCGCTGATGTAAATCCATAAACAGAACAGAGACATGTTCGTCCCTTTAATATTGCTGATTTTCGCATGTGGCAGAAGTGGATATTGGGCCGAAGATGGAGCACAATGGGGGAACGTGTCATCATGTCTGACATCCGCGTCAGCTGGCGATCAAAGTCAAATTAAATTGAAACAACTTTGTGACATCACGTCGACCCCTTCCTTCAGCCATGTCATATACAAGTGTACTCATATTGTGCCTGGGAGTCGTTCTAAACAAAAAGAATTGCTTATGCCAATTATGGATTTTGGTATTAGCAAGCATTTGGAAACGTGACCAAAATGTTGGAATAATTTTTTTACGGTATTATTTTAGAGCTTAGGGGACGCTGTTGGTCGTCCCTGGCAGCTGGACCAAATTTAATGGCGCCACTAATTCCAAAAGGGAACACATTATTCGAGTATGCATGTGAAAAAGGAAACAAGTTTTTAAAATAATTCCGCTTTGTGTGGATAATGGTAAATTGCATTTCAACCAGCGAATGCTAATACATGGATTACCGCTAAATTTATTTATTCACAGACGCATTTATCTAATTGGAATTTATATTAATTGATTGACTTGGGGTTCCATTCATTTATTAATTTGTTAATTACCCCCATTAGTGTCTGGCCTCCACTGCAAATGCGCAATATCAACTCATGGCATTCGTGGTATCAGTTGTTCAGAGAATGCCGACAGGAAGCTACGACCTACGAAGGAAGATTTACAAAATATTTTTGGAAAAAACGTTGCAAAGCCAGTTGGCAGTGTATGCATAGTATTTGCCACAATTATACAAATATTTCAAAAATATTATGCTCGACGAGATGGTCAACCGTCAAATGCTTTACTAAAATCGGTTTAGGTAACATCCTTGAAAGCCTTTAATGATACATATGAGGTTGATAGTCTTTGCCTTATAAATCAACGCAGAGGTGGAGATACTTACAACTTACAGATAAGAAAGGGATTTTCAGAGATGTTGCGAGTGGGGAGTTAAAATTGTCTTAATCATTCGGGGAATAGCGGATTACTTAGATATACTTCTATTAAGCTTTTTGTCAGACTCTCGCTACCTTCCTGATTGGGGGAAAGCATGAAGAATTAACGGAGAGGATGATTAGTTAAAGCAAGGATCCAAGCGCCTCGTCGCCGTGCCTGAGTACACAGCCGGTAACTGCGTCAGAACCTGGAAAATGCACCATCTTAACTAGTAAAAAATACTGATGCAGCGAGCTTTAATTTAACATTGGACTGATTATTCCGCTCGACCTTTGTGAGCTGTATGGCAACGTCTGACCAGAACAACTTCCCTGAGACCACCTACACCATGTACTGTCTGTTTGCGCTGACTGATATACGCATACACCCAAAAAAATGAAATAATAAAGTTAAGCTGAGTCATTTGATAATTATAAATGCAATGTAGAATTTACTCTGTCATGAAAGTGACAATAGTTCCAACTGATGAACAGTTCCCTCGAGTGCCTCACCGTTCAGACCAATCACTTCAAGTTCAGAGTCCAGTATGAAATCATTGGAGTGCCTCACGCGACGTTGTCTGGCCGGAGTGTTCTGGCTAATGGGGCTAGTGCCGCTGCCCCCCAGTTCCCAGCTCTTCTCCCTGTTTCCAACCGTGACGATTCGCTGCTGTTGGATTGTGTACCTTGTGTACCTACTGTCGATCGGAATCGGTTTCCGGTCGATAGCAACGGAAAGTGTGGGCAATGTCGTGGGGATCATGCTCTTCATGGGCAACTCCATTTTGGGCCTGCTGCTTCTCCTGGAGAGTGTGTTGAAACAGAAGACCCACAGACAGCTGGAGGACCTGCGCTTCCAGTCGCAGCTTCAGTTGCAACGCCTCGGTATGTTCGGAAGAGGTCGCCAAGCCCCGCACCTGCTGCCCCTGATTGCGACCCAGTTTACCTGCGATCTTGTGAGACTTCTGATCAGTGCCGAAGTCGGGACAATTATATCCCCAGTGTTCATCATCTCCCTGCCGCTGATGTGGCTGCTTCGCTTCCGGTACGTTCAGCTGGTACAGCATGTGATGGATCTTAACCAACGCTCGCTCCAGCTGCGCCGTTCCCTGCTCGCACTGGCCTCGGGCAACG